GTCCCATTGTTCCTACCAGACAGAGAAATGTAAAGAGGGTGTTGTTTCATATGAGAGAGCACTACCAAGCATCAGTTGAACTCTATTATGATAAAATGGGTAATGAGTTAAAGCAGAGGAGAAAGCTAAAGGAGACCTGTGCTCTTGGCATTTGTTAAGAACTGAAAAAAAGCATCATCCAAACTCTTAGACCCTTCCAGCTACCAACTTAACTCTTCGCTCATCCTCCTCCTAGCTAAAGTTCTGGACATTTCCTTTCATTGGCTTCTTTTTCTCACCACCCCCCACCCTGCTGATTTCTCAGCCCACTTCATTCTGATTCAAGTCCCATCACTACAATGAAACGGCTCTCACTAAGATCACCAATGATTTCCAGAAAATATTTTCCTGCAGATTTCTTGCTTGATCATTTGCCAGCATTAGGCAAGGTTGTTCATGGCCTCATTGTTCATACACTCACTTCTCATGGCCCTCCTATCTGTGTCTCTCCGTCTCCTTGCTTGGAATAGTTATCCTCCCTTCCCTGGGAGCCATTAAATGACTCTTTACTAGGTTCCTTCATAACTCCATACCATTTTCCAGGTGATCTCTTTTCCAGGCACCTTTTTAATGAGATAACTTGCAAACTGTATATATCAGGATAGTCCTCTTCTTTTCTCTGAGATACACACAATCACACATACATATACATACACTTTATGTATACAGCTTTACTATAAGTCTCGAAATTAGATCGCATGAGTCCTCCCACTTTGTTCATTTTTTAGTACTGTTTTTGCTATTCCAAGTCCTTAATATTTTCATAAAAATTTTAAAAATCACTGTTTCAATTTCTTTGAAGAGATTGCTTTCATTTTGAATATCATTTATTGCATTCAATCTATGGATCCATTTGGGAAGAAGTGCCATATTAACAATGTGAAGTCTTCTGATCCATGAACGTGGTGTATCTCTCCACTTATTTAGCTCTTCTTTAATACCCCTTAATAATTCTCATAATTTTCTCTATACATATTTTGTCCACATTTTGTTAAATGTTTCCCTAAGAATACATGTTTTTGCTGTTGAAACCTGTTATTTTATAATTTAATTTTCCAATTGTTTACTGTTAGTATGTAGAGATACAATTGGTTTTTGTTTATTGATTTTGTGTCCTGCATATTGCTAAATTCAAGTATTAGTTCTAGAGGCTTTTTTGTAGATTCCTTAGGATTTTCTTTGTAAGCAATAATATCCTCACAATAGAAGCAGTCTATGTGCATTTTATCTATTTTTCTCATCTTCTTGTACTGGCTAGGACCTCCACTACACTGTTGAGTAGAAGCAGTGAGAGAAGACTTCATTTCCTACTTCCCAATCTTAGGGGAAAGCGTTCATCTTTCACCATTAGGTAGGATAATTGCTGAAGGCTTTTCATAGATGTCCTTCATCAAGTTGAGGAAGTTTCCTTCTATTACTAATTTACTAGTTTACTGAGAGTTTTATCATGAAATAGTGGTTGAATTTTTCAAATGCTTTTCCTTTATCTATTGAGATGATCATATTTTTTTCTCTTTTATTCTGTTTATATGCTAAATTGCATTGACTAATTTTTTAATGTTAAACCAACACTGCATCGTTGGAATACACCTGATTGATTTATTGAGCCAAATCTATTATGCCTTTGTATATTGCTGGATTTGCTTTGATAATACATTTTTAAAGAGTTTTTCATCTCTATTCATAACAGATTTTCTCAGTGGTTTTTTTTTTGCTGTCGTCATGTCTTTGATTATTAGGGTAACTGTGGCCTCATAAAATTAGTAGGAAAGTATTATCATTTTTTTGAATTTCAGAAAAAGCGTGAATAAGATTGGTATTATTTATTCCTTACTGTTTGGTTGAATTCATCAATGAACCTATCTGGGCCTGGAGTTTTTTTGTAGCAAGGTTTATAATGATACTGTCCCTTTTGGTAATCTGTTTTTCCAGGTGTGTATCCATTTCATGTAAGTTTGCAGAGTTATTGGTTGTTCATAATATTCTCTTATGTCCCTTTTAACGTCTGCAACATGTTTGCCTTTTGATTATAACTTTATCCCGGTCACAAATACTTCTTAAGCCAGGGCAGATTTCAAGGTCCATTATTTACATGATATTTCCGATTCGTAAGTATGGTAATACCTCTTGCAGGATGTATTTTCATGTCAAAGAGGATTTTAAAGTTTATTTATAATAGTGGAATACAAGTGGTGTGTCTGTGTGTGTGTGTGTGTGTGTGCGCGTGCACCTTGTGCAGGAAGAGGTTGCTGAACCGTTACTGACATGGCAGGCGAAAGACCTTCCCACATGGACAGTTCCCCAGGCTGGATCTCTCAAAGCCCTCTTGCATAGTTATTATTGCTTTTATATAACTAGGCATATATTTAAGAATTTACCGACTTCCGTATCACATTATGTTGAAGTTTATAAATGGAAACCTTAAATAACAAGGGGAAAAAATGAGCATTACAATCAGATAGACCTGAGTGCAAATTCCGGCTTGTCACATGTAGACTTGGATATTTTATTTAGTCCTTCTCAGTGTCTGCTTGATCATCTAAAAATTAGGATTGCCAATAGTCTGCTTTTAGGAAGACCTCAATGATGACTCAAGATTAGGCATAGTTTCTGGTGCTCAGTTAATACCAGTGATTTCTATTAATGTTATGCTGACTTTCTCCAGACATAGACAACTTGTCAGTGGGGAGAGTTGTATGTCTCCTCAAGATGAGTGCAGGATTAAACGTCTTCCATCCTTATTTAGATCATCATCTAAAAGGGGACATTCTCCCCACTTTCTTTTCTCTGACTGTAGGGAGCATAGCCATGCTCCCTGTGGCATTTCTCTTTGTGGGGACTCTGTTTCTGATGGTTGCAGAGCTCATCAGATGCAAGATATTGGTTCTTCCCTTGAGGGGAGTGCTTCATAATGAAAGTGCTAAAGTTTAAATGATCTCTCAAGGATCATTTAGAGAATAGTTCAAGGCCATTTAGCAGACATTTATAGGGTTACTCATGCCAGAGTTCTCCTGGAACTTTCCAGCACCCATTGCAACTTCTCTTCACTTATTTTAAAAATGACTATTTAAAAACAGACTCACAGAGAAGGAATGATTCTCAGCTTTTGTCTCCCCTCAACCAATGGACAAGAAGATTGAGCGGGCCACCACTGTGTGAAAGGTCAGTCTATGTGACACGACATAGAAAGTGACACGACATGTAGAGTCAGAAGGGAAATAATTTACCAAGTTTTTTCTATTTAAGGGCAGATTTTCATTAATTTCACTTGCTTCTTTTTGTGAGAGAATAGTTATGGTCAAAGGAACATCATATTAATTTGTGTGGGCATCAAAGTAAAATTCTGTTCTCAAATTAAGGATTATCTAACAGACTTGGATCTTGTGATGTAGAAAGCAACTGAATCCATCCAACATCCATTCTGAGAGACCACAGGGATACATCGCTCTGTCCCAGCTTGCAGCACAGAGATAAAAGCAACAGCTGAATAATCTTAATAGAACTAAGACGGCCTTGCAGTGTGCTTGTTGGCAGATTTTCCTCTTTAAAAAAATTACACATGCTGAATTTTATTGTTTTGCTCACTAAGCCCTATCAATCTTCATGAGCTTATAATTAAGAAAATATTATACTTGGAGGGCCTCCCTGCTATTATCAAACAACTTTGAAAAGAAATGGAAAAGTACAAGTTGTGTAACTGTTATAACAAATTCCAGCTATTTGAAATGTTAATGTAAGACCACAAGGGTTTATGTTTTCATGCGCATTTTAAAGGGTTGCAATATAAAACTGGCTTCAAGCAATCTCGTAACAATAAATAGTAAGCAACAAAGAATGTGTTATTTATTTTTTATTCCTTTCATTCAATGGTTTGCATTGGTCAAACCTCAAAAGCAGAAAACCTAACAGAAAGCCACAGGTCCTTAGGTCCCTTCTCTCCATCTGGCAGCAGATGGCAGTATTGATGCATGAAAAATCCATGCAGGTCCCTTTTGCAATTGCCTGTGAGGTTCTCCTTCTCTTTAAACTTAGGTCCGTGAGCTGAACCAGAATGCCTAAGACGACAATATGGTTGTAATCATTTTACTGCTCTTCTTTCTCAATCTTTACTTCTCTCTTTTTTAAACTAAGAGCCTTTTTTGTTGTTGTTTTTAGAGCAGTTTTAGGTTCACAGCAAAACTGAGCGGAAGGTATAGAGATTCCCATATGGTCCCTACCTCCACTCGTGAACAGCCTCTCCATTATCAACGTTCTCCGCCAGAGTGGTATAATTGTTACAACTGATGACCAACACTGACAAAGCGTGACCACCCAAAGTCCACACTTTGCCTCGCGGTTCACTCTTGATGTGCATTCTGGGGGTTTGGACAATGTATCCAAATACATCGTATAATGTATAATGCCATGTAGCCATCATTATAATATCATACAGAGTATTTTCACTGCCCTAAAAATCCTCTGCGCTCTGCCTAATTATCCTCCCTTCTCAACGTGTGCCAACCACGGATCTTTTCCCTGTCTCCATAGTTTTATCTTTGCCCGTATGTCATAGATTCAGAATTATATAGTATGTAGGCTTTTCAAATTGGCTTCTTTCACTTAAGTTTCCTCTATGTTCTTTCATGACTTCATAGCTCATTTCTTTTTAGTGTCGAATGAGATTCCGTTGTCTGGATGTACAACTTCTCTTTCTATAAAGAGCTTGCTCTTCCATTTGCAGCTCTTTTTAGACCTTGACAGAATTGTGATGTTTCAAACTTTTTTCCACCCAAACTCCTATTTGGCACTCAACTGTATTACTCAAGAACATACTCAACTCAGCAAATGTTCTGGGGAAACAGGCCCTGAAACCTCCCAGACCACTGACGCCTGGGACAATCTCCTTACTGTGTCTTCTAATTACTTCTCCAAAGCAGAGCTTTCGAAGTTAGATAACAATAAAGGGTCTCTGCTCCTTTCAGATCCCTGGAACGTCATCTGTAGTTCAGAGAAAATGGAAGCCCCTGCAGCCTGTTTCACAGCCTCGAGGGCCAGGACAGCAGACCAAGTCCAGGATTAGCGCTGTGGCCGCCGAAATAAAGCAGATCCGGGCCAGACGAAAAACAGCCCGGATGTTGATGGTTGTGCTTTTGGTGTTTGCAATTTGCTATCTACCAATTAGCATCCTCAATGTGCTAAAGAGGTAAAGTTCACCTATTATTTGAGAATGAAGCAATCTGTCATTTCTTGGTGCTTAATTAAGAACTTTATTTTTTCAAGCCAGAGAAAAATCTAAACCCTCATCCCAGATAGCTTGTCAGGCCACGTAACTCCATGTGTTGTTACCAACAGGTAAGGCGAATAGCCTTTTGAGTACTCAGGCTCTAAATGCTCGTGTTCATGCAAATTCTCTGTTGAATGGCAGACATAAAGCAGATGTTCCTCTGACCGCTTCAAGCTAATTGCTAAGCTTTAGAAGCAGAAAAAGTTCTAATGCAAAAAACTCATTTACAACTTGGAGTTCTTTTTTGATCAGAACAAATGGGTTTTCCAAAACTTTGTTCTCCAAGACACAGAGAATCATGACAGAACGCTATCTAAAGGATAAAAGGAGATAAGTGTTTTGTTAACATTGTAATTATACTTAAAAGTACATTTGTGAGCACTAAAAAAAAAACAAACAAAAAGAAAGGATCACGGTACATGCTGTGTTTTGAATGTTTAAATAGAAAGAAAGAAAATCATTTCCTGAGGTCATTGAATGAAGCTCAGGGTGAATATTAATAAAAATCAGCACAAAATTTTTAAGTGAGAGAAAATATGTTGTTTGTTACGTGTTACATTATTCAGTTAAAACAATTGACTAACACAAACAGCCGGGGCAGGGGCAGCGGTAAGCGGGAACTTCACAGCCAGCCAACCGTACTGGGAATTATCATAACCATTGCACAGTCTGCTCCCAAGGTAATACTAATTCTGTTTGTAATAGGCTCGAACTTAAACTAGGATCGCTCCTCTCTCTTTTCCCTGATTCAGAGTTAATATCATATTCCTCACAGCTGGGGACCCTGGAGAGAGGCCGCTTTGGCTGGACTCACACAGATGAAAGGTGGTATAACCAGCTGCAAAGATTTCTCTTTCTCTTTGGCCCTTGTTTTTGATTGCTTCATGACTTTTTCAATGGAGAAGAAACAGAAAACGAACTTTTGTTCAGAAATATTTACCACAGACACCGCCTTAAAAGTGTAAGATTTTCGGCAGCTTGGGTCCTGGAAACGTATACGGGCTCACAAGAACATGAAAGCTACTTTACCCTCCATATCTTTTCATAAATCCCTCTTATTTTTCTTGCCCACAAAAATCTCATGCAAATTTATTCTAGTCTTTTGCTGGATGATGTTTTCAGCTCTTAAGAACTTTAAAAACATGCCATGATACTGGATGGGTTTTCTCTTCTTTTTTGTTTTTGGATTTTTTTGGTACCTCTATTTTAGTCAGTCTAAACTCAATGAAAATTGGATTTACTGCTCTCTACATTGCTCATTCTGATTTCCTGCAGCTCAGCACTTGTACCTTTCCTTTAACTAGTTCCAAATACCTACTTGTCCATGAAATTTCTCTTATTCTTCTGACTTAAATATCTTCCTTTCCGAAGAAAATAAGTGACTTTCTAAAGTTCATGTTAAACTTAAAATGTATTCAAGTTTTTGAGCAATCTGCTCTTTTCTACAAAATAAGACCTGAAATAACCTTCAAAATTGTTTTTCTCTTTACCAAACGCATTTTCTTCAAATGCTTATCTGCTTATTTCCCCTTGCATGACACATCTGTGTTTTCTTTCTCTTAAAATAAATTCCTAATTTCTTTTCCTTGAAACTTAACTTTTTGCCTGACTAGTCCAAGCCAACTTCTTTAAGGCAGTGCTGGTTTCTCTAGGACTTCAGGATATACTGTGGTAGAAGGTTATAACACATTATTAATTCCTTTTGTCCATGTTGTTTCACTCCATATCGTACTTTGTAAAACTCCAGTATCCCATAGAGCATCGCATTATTCCAGAAATGCATTTCCTTTATGGACACAAGCTACACAATTAATGATGGAGCCTCTGGCAGGAAATGAGTTATAATCTTCAGCCTATAAATTTATTGGGTAGCTCTGCAAGTTACCTTCTGTTGGCTAGGGAATGGAATATTTCTAAGTTTGGAACAAATCTTAAAAATGACCTTTAAGGATATCACAATGAAATATTTTTCAGAGTTTAAAATAATAAATACAAATATTAAAACTCATGAATTTTAAGAAATTACTAGAATTTTGCCTACTGCAAACTAGTTCTTCTCTGGGTATAAAAAAGTCCCAGAAGCCAAATTTCAGCAAAGCTGGGAATATTGGAGTTGAAGAAATGTAGTATTTCGATCAGTGCCCAAACGAAAGTAGCAAGGACTTATAGACTGCGATTTGGGATGCTTTCTAAATGACACACAAAATGGAATGTTAACAAACATTGCTCAATTGTATTTAGAAACAAAATGAAAGAAAGAAGACAGATAGAAATTTAACCTCTGTATTCTCACCCACAAGAAATATTACTGCATTTGCTGTTTACAGGAGAGAAAGACCCTTCTTCTCTGATCTGATCTGAATTTTGATTTACTAATCATGCCATGGAGGCTCTGTGGCCCGCGCTGGGATTATTCTAAACCCACTGCGGTGCCATAAACCCATCAGTGGTCAATGCCTGCGGCAGGGGAGGGCAGGGGTCAGGAAGCTTCCATCAAGGGCTTTGTTCACCCTTGAATTTAGCTATTTGAAAAGCACTTTCCAGAATCACACTGGATTTCCTGTGACTATTTCTTTTCCTACAGAGTATTTGGGATGTTTACCCACACTGAAGACAGAGAGACTGTATATGCCTGGTTTACATTTTCACACTGGCTTGTATATGCCAATAGTGCTGCGAACCCAATTATTTATAATTTTCTGAGTGGTGAGTTTCAACTGTTTCTTCTGTATAAGCCACAATTGTAACCAAGGGTGAGGGATCAATGACTGCAAGGTTTGGAATACTCTCAAACTGTACGAGGAGCTGAGTTGCCGTGGTACGAGATTTTCTTTTCTCAGATAGGATTTGTCTCAAGTTTCTTCCCTTATGAGAGGGAATAGTTGTTACCTAACTCATCAGAGACAATTATCTAAATCATTAATTTCCATAAAATTTAGGAGAAATGTTGAAATAGGAGAAAAGTGAAAATTGTGAAAACTGAGTAATACAGAATCTTGCTTTTCATACGGTTAAGCTTATGATTTACAAAAATGTAACATAATTTTTTCTGAAAATAAAACAGCCTTGCTATATTATTTCCTTTGCCAACATTTGTAGACTAATTGAGACTGAATTGGAACCTTTCCACTTTTAGGTATTTTTCTGTGTTTACATTTCTCTGGTGGGTAACATCTCTTGAGTTTGTCTTGAGATTTCTTACTGAACACAAAAAATATTACTCCTAAAGAACACATAAGATAGCACCCACAGATACACCCATCTGTAACTGATTTAATCTATCTCTATTTAGGGAATCACTATAATTATAATAATCATTTAATTAATTATTGTTTTATTTACAAACATTTTGCCTGATTGACTATTAGAATTGTGTTTTAATTAGCTATATCTTTACAATGTCTTCTTCTCTAACTGGTCGACTATTTCTTTTTCATTTCTATCTCATATGGAAAAATAAGAAGTTCATTTTATTGCATACTTAATAAGTATGTGTATTTTCCAACTTCATCTTTGGCTTTCTCAGTTGTATAGGTTATATACATATATATATATATATATGTATATAAAAGACAACCAACTAGTCAATTAGATTTTTTAATGACTTTTTTTTCCATCCTGGCATGTCCCTGCTTTATTTCACCTTGGAGAGAACCAAGTGGTGTATATGTGAGGCTTGTTTTGTATCCAGTTCCCATTTTCAGGCCATCCCCTGCCACAGCCAGCCCCAGTCTCCAAAATAAAGATGACGTTAGGTCTGGGACAACCAAATACCACTGCCCCATGCTATGTTTGAAGGGAGAAGGTGCCGTGTGGGGCTGTGGCTTGGAAAGCAGTGGCAAAGCAATTGCCATGGGGTGAGAAATGACTCAAGCCCTGAGCCTCGCACTAAGCAGGTAAAACCTATTAGGAGGTTATAGGGAGAAGCATTTGAAGCGAAGACACAGAACCAACTTTTAAAGGTCTATTATGGGGTCAAGAGTGAGGCAGGGAAGGTGACCAGTACCCACTGAGGACTTGTTATGTGCCTGCTGTTATCCTAGGCGCTTGGACAAGCATCTTCTCATTTGATCACTCAATAACCCAGTTTGGTCCTTGAGGCTCAGAGAGGAAATGATGATTCCCAACACTGACATTTACCCATAAAAATGTTCATTTTCATACTTCTCCAGTTGCAAGTTAGCAATTTAAAGACAAGGAATAATTTCTAAAGTCATTATTTTTCCTTTAGTGTTTTTATTTTGTTCTGCCTTATGCTCATTACTGAACTTTAGAAATTTTCTTGATATTTTAAGATTTTTTTCTAGATACTTTGTTGAACTGATCATGTCAGTAAAATAATTTCTTCAGAGTACAGTGAAGGGGTAATTTCTGTATAGCTTTGGCTATGTACACATAGGTGTCACCATTTTGGGAATTGTTAAATATCCCTGGGTGTCCTTCTCCCGATGGTCACTTTTATTATAGTTACCTAGTTAAAAATAACCCCATTCACAAATATGCGATGTTTGACTCTAACGGAATGAAACAGCCTCCAAACATCACACATGAAAAGCAGTCATTATTTTATGGAAATTCCTCATTGTTTCATGAGTCTACCATGCTCCCAGTAATGCAATTTCCTTTTCCTTTTTTCCCCACCTTTGCAAAATATTGCACCTCATCGTTAGTTTGGCTCAAGGGAGCAAGTCAGTTGTACCCTATTCATGATTTGCTGAAACATATTTATGCCTAATTTGTTCCTTTCATTCTCCCTGGTTTGCCAGGAAAATTTCGAGAGGAATTTAAAGCTGCATTTTCTTGCTGTTGCCTTGGAGTTCACCATGGCCAGGAGGATAGGCTTACCAGGGGGCGAACGAGCACTGAGAGCCGGAAGTCTCTGACCACCCAGATCAGCAACTTTGATAACATATCAAAACTCTCAGAGCAAGTTGTGCTCACCAGCATAAGCACACTCCCAGCGGCCAATGGAGCGGGACCGCTGCAGAACTGGTAGAATATTCATCCACGTGACAGGGAAAACAATTCTTTTTTAAAGCTCTGTACACAGAAATTTTATTATCCTAATGATCTGAAGCTAAAATTACTTTGTGGAGCCATTTTTCTTTTTTTCAAAATCGGTTGATCTTTGGAAATAAAATACGACGGTTTAAAATAATTTCTCAACTTTTGATTTAAACATGTGAGAAGTTTAACTTTCAACTGAATTTATTGCAGGCTATTTCACTTTTAGTTTTGTGTATTATGATTCGTCAATTAAATGTTTGAACATTTCTAATGCTAATTGTTATTTTAATCTCTCACATTCAAATTGCTTGCAAAAAATGACCAAGAGTTATCCAATGACTTTCTTTGGCTACTAAAAGAAGTAGCAATTACCAACTGAATTAACAACAGATATGTTAGCTGACTTTATAGTTTTAACAAAATCACAAAAACTGTCATTACAATGCGACATCGGAGAGAATATTTATATACAAAATAGCATATATATTAGATAATTCGAAAGCTATCTTTCAAAACCATATAAAAATATACACTATTAAACTTTATTTTTCATTACTTTTATCATTCATTTACACAATTTTCTCAGGTTTGTAACTTTCCCATTGCTAGCATATCTCATCTCAACACATGGCCAGTAAGATGGTATTAAAATAAAAATTTTGGAGTAACTACAAACACATCATCATTTCCATCTCTAAGAAAAGACTTTGGCATTTAAGGATAAGATAAAATCACATTGCTATATTCTTCTAACCAGTAGAAATGATGTGTGGCCTTGCTAGATTAAATCAAGAAAGCAATTTACTAAGAAAAGAAGTAGTAGACTGCTAAATCACACCTGGGCCCCATATTGGGCAGGTGAATGCCATGGATACTTGATAGTAAATATTTGCATTTGTTTAAATTTCATAAATATTTATCAAATACTTAGCAGGAAGCACCCACTGTGCTAGGTGGTAGGGAATGGGGGGAGGGGGGTTGGATCTAACTGTGCCTTCAGAAGAGCTCTAGGCTGCTGAGGGAGACATGTTGACAGAATGGGCAGGGAAGCAAATCACTGTGGGGGACAGATTCGGACAGGCGGAGTAGTGAAGCAACCTATGATGGTGTTCCTCACCCAGACGCTGGCCATCAGGTTGTGTTGTATTGTTTCTGATTAATTACAGTCACATTGGCCATGACAGTGAGTTGCACCTGGGCCTGCAGCTGACAGCCAGGTGATTAGAAGGATGGAGGGGCTTGCTCTGAACTTACACACAGATCAATAGGAGCACAGCATATTTTGTACAAATGTAAGATCTGGGCTTCAAAGCACTGAATAGTTCAAATTTGTTCCTCTGAAAAATTCTTCTGGTTCAAATATTCACTTTAAAACTAAAGTTTGAAAAGCTTAATTTTCAAAAAGTTGAAAAGTTGCTCTTCTCATAGTGGCAGGCGCTCTTATTTTATTGAAACAAAAGATACGGAGAACAATATTTAAGATTTTCATAGACGATAAAAATTATCTTGTTCTTTTCTTGCTTTTTTCCAACACATCACTTTCAGAAAGAAGTAATACAACCAAATTAACCCCAAGTTGTTTGCATAGTTTAGGATTTGGGATTACCTTGTGCTTTTTACTACTCAAAGCAAAAACTACGCTCGCATATGAAGTTTGTTGAAGTGATATTGCTAGTATCAGAGTGATATCAATGAAAGCAAAGTATTGCAACTCTCTCCTTTCTCCCTTATACATCTGAGAACTTTTTTCTTAGTTATGTGGCATGAAAGGAGAGTTATAATTTTCAGATTCTGGCGGAAGCTAGCACTTTAAATAGTTTGAAGATAACCTCAAATAATATTGATAATATGCCTTAAAAGTTGAGAGATATCTCAGAGTAAGAGCTAAATTCTTTAGACCCTAATACATATAGTTCTCTATTACTTAAGAAGGAGAGAGATTGTGAGAGGGGGAGAGAGAGAAAGCCTCAGAGAGGTGGCAGTTGTGTGATTGTGGGTTAAGAACAGACTCGAAGTCAGAATTCCTTTGCTCTAAATCAATGACTCTCCACGTGTGGTTTTAGAACTATCATCATTTGCATCACCTGACAACTTAGACACGCAAATTTTCACCCTAGCCCAGATCTACTGGATCAGAACCTGTGGGGGTGGGACTGAGGAATCTGCGTGTTTACAAGTCCTCCAGGTGATTCTGAAGCTCCTTAAAATTTGAGAATCACTGCTCCAAGCGATACCACCAGGCTCCTGTTTGTTAGCCCCTGTGAAACAAAGTATTTTACTGCACCGTTATCTACAACAGGAACCTCCGTCATCACTACTGCCAACCTGTTTGGAGGTATGAAACAAGAGGCTGAGTATGAATGTGGAGTGTCATTCAGTGTCACCTCACTCAGAGATAGTAATTTATGAGACAACTGCCCCTGTTTTACAAGTGCAGTGTGAAAGAAGACGGGTTTTACAGCCCTTGTACGCTTTACGTGTATCTGGATGACTTGAGTTTCTAACTAAAACTTTCAAATTTCCAACTTTGTTTATACTTACTACAGGCTAAGTTTTGCAGGAGCAGACAGTTTCTAAGAATAATCATTGCCTAGAAGAAAAACAAACACCAGTACTTACAAGAAACTGTGGGGGTGAAATGGTATACCGTGCACGTTGCTCCCAGCACATTGATAGCAGGAATCCTTCTGAGAGGTCTGGATTCAGTATGGTTACCTTAATAGGACAAATGGTAAAGAAACAGGTGTTCCCAAACCCTGCCAAGTTGGAGGGATAAAGGGTCAACTACTTACCTCATTATGTGCTAATGACACAAATGAGAAGACTTCTTATGAAAGAAATATGTTGTGACTGTCTTATGCTATACATAGAATATGTATCTTTTTTTGCTATATTTCAAAGATTTAATGTAAAGTGTCATTAATGTTACTGAAATTTTGTTATCAAAAAGGCTGAGATGATAATTTTATCTAATATGGAATCCATTTGAACTTCATGATTTCTGAATTTCTGCAAACCCATGAAAACTTTGATACTTGAATGCATTCATTCTTGGCAAAAGATGACTCAGTTTATGAGGAAAATGACTCCTAAGTTCTCCAAGGCTTGGAGCGCTTCTTGGGTATTAAATAACTGTTATAAATCATTGATGAATTAATTGCAAAAGTATTAGACATGACGATATTGAATGTCACTTTCAATGTACATTGTTCTAATAATGATACAGGTAAATATGTTTGACAAATGTACTCTGAATATACACGAACCTGAAATATCAGAATGACAGACCCCAAAGATACTTACTGCACAAATTGTGAGGAGGGCTATTATTCTTTTAATACTAGTATGTTTTGCACTTGATATGAATCATAATAGTAATCAACTGCACTTCAGAAAAATGTGAGTAGTTATTATAATTTAGAAAGCTTTACAATTCCAGTTAATTTTACAACAGATGACTTTTCTACCTACAAGTTACAAATCAAAAAAAGTAAATTCTAGTAGGTTATGTGCAATTAATTTTCAAATGGCATCAAGCAAAATAGACTTTTTTTTAGAGACAATATGTAAACAGACAAAATATTGCTAACTTAAGTCTATTCTATTACCTTATGTACCACAGAAAATAGAGTTCACAGGCATGAAAAATACTATTATCTCCCAAAATTCAACGGAGATTGTTTTCTAGAGAACAATTGCAATTAACGAGGGGGCGAAAACCTTCCTCCCACTTGCCACGTATTTCTATTATCTTAAATTTTCTTTATAAGCCTTGGAATTAGAATGTCTTCTAAGTTTTTCATGAAATGTATTTCTATAATTGTTGTATCCCATGTGTGTAACAACATGTCACTTGCTTAACAATTATCTTACAAATTTAAAGTCCTTTGTGCTTGCTTCTACTGTGTCTTCGTGAGGAAATGTCTTACCAAATCCAATGTGATTGCACACCAGCTGCTGTGAAGGATGATCGTTATGTAGTTTTTAAGTAAAAGTCATATTGAGAATTCTATAATCACATCCACACTGCCCTCTCTATTGTATGAAAAATCTTGTTGTTGCTGATTAGATAAGTTAGATATTCACTCATAACTAGTGTCAAAGCTTTGCAGTTAAGGATTAAATTAAGCCCTCTGGTGCAGTACCTAATGACCCAAATATTTTTCCCAATAAGTTTATATAACCAGGGATAATCATGACGTGAAAGGTTTCTAATGTTGTTTTTAAGAGCAGGTACTATAATAAAGATGATTAAGATTAATACAGAAATATTTCATAAAAACCGTAAAACCACACACAGATAGCATTAAATTTTGGAGGTTTCATCTGAGTTAAGAGATTTAATCTTATTTTGACTTAGAGGAAATGATAATCTTGTGATTTTCAATTTATTCCTACAGTACTAGTAAGTATGGCTTTTACGTAATTAAGCTATTTTTTTCTCGGTCATTATATACAAAAGTTTTAGCACTATTTTAAGTTCAATGATAAATTTTAAAATGTATATTTTATGCTTTTCATTTACCTAAATGTTTCTGATAAATGACAGAATCAACTGCCAAAGATTTTAGTGAAAAAAATCCATTTTTATTCAACACTGTTTATTCTAACTCATATCAAAAATTGAGCCTAAGTAACCAGGCAAAGCAAATGCTTGTCTCCTAGGGAAATGGGATGTGAGTGTGTGTGGTGAAATTTCTAAAGACAAAGTGAAACCCCCAGCCTGAAATCTCAAGAAAGGCTGGCTATTTCAGTGGTGAGGATATTTTGCTTTGAGTAATCCATTGTCAGAGGCCAGGTTCAGCAGTTTCCCATTATCTGCAGTTTCGCTTTCCCTGGTTTCAGTTACCTAGAGCCAGCTGCCGTGTGGTAGTCCTCCCTTATCCAAGGTTACACTTTCTAGGGTTTCAGCTACCCGAGCTCCACCGTGGTCTGGAAGCAAATGATCCTCCTTCTGGCATATTGTAAGAAGGTCAGGAGTAGCCTAACACCATGTCACAATGACTACCTCATTCATCACCTTTCATCTCCTCATGTAGGCGTTGTATCATCTTACTTCATCACAAGGAGGATGAGTACAGGACAATAAGATATTTTGAGAGAGAGAGACCACATTCACATAACTTTCATTACAGTATACTGTTATAATTGCTCTATTTTATTGTGAGTTATTGTTTAATCTCTTACTGTGCCTAGTTCATAAGTTAAACTTTATCCTAGGTATGTATGTATAGGAAATACATAGTATTTATAGGGTTCCGTGTTAGCTGCTGTTTCAGGCATGCACTGGGAGTCTTGAAACATATGCCTGCGGATAAGGGGGGACTATGGTACTTGTCCTCTCCTCCTAGAGTCAGCCCTGAACAGAGGTCACCTTCATCTAGGCCAGTGGCCATGAACAGGAAGTAGGGTAACAAAGGAACATTTCTTGAGGCCCCTTTTT